TTTTCTGTTTATGTGGTGCTGAGGAATTGAACCCAGGGCCTCTTGCATGCAAGGCAAGCACTCTACCACTGAGCCACTTTTCCAGCTGGCTTATAGTTTTTGAAATCAATAGCAAATATTTATCTAAGAAGCAGTACAGTTGGCTGGATGGAGAACACAATTCTTGGATCAGCACTACAATGTAGACAGGTTCCAGGAGTCTTTTCCATAATCACTCTGAATGTGGTTAAGGATCATCTCTGGTGCAGAAGAACTTTTTAACCCCATCTCACTAACTGGGATCTTATCTTGGAATATTCCATTTTGGACGTTCAAGTTGATCAGGAAGCCCAGACCCTTGACACTTCTCTGAGTGTCCCATTCATGGGGCATAGGAATAACGAAATGAAAACTTCAAAAAAGGGAACCAGTCATGGGGCAAGTCATGGGTACACAGGGCAGTCATATGGGTAACGACAAGGTGGCTTTCACAGTGATGCAGGTTGTACCTTGCCTGGAAGTTGAACATGGAAAGCAGAGGGATATGAGCCTATCTTATATTTCACAATTTTTTTTTGAGGGAGTTAAAATATGAAGGGAGGACACTTTTATAGAAGGCAATATGTTCTGTACCACATTTTCCACTGATCTATCTTGTTCCCATTTTTTTTATGCTTATGAAATACACATATAGCTAGTATCTCTTATTCTCTCCATTAGCACTCCCACCAAACATGAAAACTCACCTTTATGATCTATTCTGCTTAGAGACAATCCTGGGCGGAGATTTCGATTAATTATTTGAATTAAATCTTCACGCCTTGTGCTTTGAGGGCACCATATTTCTGTAAATCGATTTCTTAAGGCAGGAGACAACTACAAAGAACACAAACTCTAATGTGAGTTTGAAATTTATGAAGAAAGCTAGAAAAAAAATGCTTCGAAAGAATGTTACCTGTGAATCCAGGAAAAGAAATATTTATTTTGTGGGGGGAAATGGTCCTACTATACACTTCAGGCTGATCTGCAATTCTCTTATGAAGACCAATCTAGATTACAGACACGTACTACACACAGCCCTCAGATGCCTCTTCTGTTATATCAACTATTTTTTTCTTGCTTCTAAGAGATATTGCCCCATCAATCTCTAACAACATCCATACATTAGCAATTATACCACTTTCTAGATATGACAGAGCTCTGAAGCCTGGGAAAGCACTGGAATGCTAGTCACAGCTATCTTAAGTAGATTCCTCTTTCACATTAATAGCCATCTTCCCATAAAGAAGGTCCATCTCCATACCAGAAGAAAACTTACATGGCTCAAAAGGAATGAAATTGTAAGGAGACATTTATTTTATGTCTTGTCTTGTATAAGAAAGTTATTATATACCTTCTCCAGTCCTATGGGTTCTGACCCTTTTATAGTTTCCTTTCTTTTCCCAATGCCAATTCATCTCTATTCACAATGTTTGTAACAACACCACCTAGGTTTTACTTTATCGATGATTGTTGTTGTTGTTCGTGTATCCCATATACCACAGGACCAACAAAACCTGTATTTAGGAGGGGCTCATTAAGGACACAGGGAATTTCTAAGTATGTACATGTTCCTCACCACTATCCTCAAAGACCTGTGCCTCTAGTATCCAGGATCTTATTTTGCTCTGATTTTTATACAGGCAAAACGAAAAGGGGTTGCTTTCTCATAGGTAAGAATAACAATTGTCTTAAGGAAAACTGAGGCTAAGCTGACAGGTAAAATTAATGTAAATAACTTTGAAATCAGATTTCTGAAGTACATAATCATTTTTCTTCTACTACTGAGGAAAACTGGACACAAAAAGTGAACATGGCCACATTTTAGGCAACCAACCAGTTACCAAGTATCTTACCCTCCTTCATTCTAGATTCTTATCCCTACCAACACTTGTGCTAACCATTAGCAGACCAGGACCATACACATTATGACTTGTAACCCACTTACAGGTTTACTGAGCTCAAAACCACAAGGTCTTTCATTCCCGAATGTTATGATCTAAAGAAACTTAACCAACAATCTGACAGTGACTCCCATAACCC